AACCACAAATCCAATTTGGGCGGGAGCTTCTCCCCCACCCCCAGCACTGTTCCTACTTTGTTGGAAGCTTCAGCCTGGATGCACCCACAGGGAATCCTCCTCCACTCTGGGCACAGGTCCCGCGGAGCCTACGGCCCCATCTGCAGGGTTGTGGCGCCCTCTGGTGGTAGATCTTAGAATGCACATCTTGGCCGGCCGGGAGAGGGAGCCAGTCCTCCACGTGGAGGAAGCTCCTGGGCCCCAAAAGACAGTAGGATGGACACTAGCGGGGCCTTTGGTCGCCCAAGGTCTCTGCCCCTCACCCAACCCCTCAGTCTCTCATTCAAATGCTTTGGACTCTTCCTGGGTACAGGGATGGGCCCCAGGAGCTCATGGCCCAGGACTGTCCACAGCCAGCAGGAGTTGAATGGGGCCAGAGGACGAACAGCAAGGTGGGTGGGCATCCTGGACTCTGGGCCCAGTGAGGGTCTGTTGAGGTGACCCTGGCACTGGCCAGCAGGCACCCTAGCCCTGCTGGAGGTCCAGGCATCCTGTCTGTCTAGCAAGTGCAGAGGAGCATGGAAATGCTGAGCAGTGGTGGGTGAGCCTGCCTGGGTGGGATCCTGTGGGGAAGGGGAGTCTCTGGGCCCACGCAAGTCACCCACCCAGAGTGCAGGAGCCTCGGCAGCCTCCAGCACATCCACCTTCCCTGCCTGGAGTCCCCAACACCCTGGCTGATGGCAATTTATTGGTGCTGGCTGTCCCTGAGAGGATTTTCCTGACATCCTTAATATCCCTCTAATCCTTAAATAAAAAATGAGTAGTGGTGTTCAGAGAGTCCCTCAGGAAGGGAAAACAAATGGCCTGCCGTGGCCCCTGCCCTGGGAGCTGATCGGCCACACGGGGGACGGGGCAGGTGCAGGAGTGGGGCCCCCATTTTAGCCTCAGCCTCTGAAACGGGACCACCTGGGAGTTCCCCCTGGCACAGCCCCCCTGGCCTTCCTCTGACCTTCACCTGCACCTCATTCCCAGGACCCCCTCGCCGCCAGTTCCCCACCCTGGGGGGCTGCCCACAGGCAGACCTAGGAGGGAAGGCACCTGCCCTCAATAGATGCGTCCGCCCACCCAGCGGGTGCCTGCCCTCTGGCTCTGGGGTGAGGAGGTCACTCCCCAGGTGGCCCCATCTCGCACACGGTCACACTCAGCAGATCTGTCCATCCACCTGGCTGTGAGCCTAGGAGAACCTGGGAAGTGCAAGAGAACCCCGGGCCCCAGCCGCGGGTCACCCTCTGTCTGTTATACACTCAGTGCAAGGACAGCTCACCCCGCAAGCCCTTGCAGTGGGGCGTGGGCCAAGAGTAACATGAAGGCCCAGGTTAAGAGGGGGACCCTCAACCCAGGCTGCTCCAGGAAGCCTGCTAGGCCTAGGGACATGCAAGGTGGCTCTGAGGACATAAGGGATAGGGTGTTGGCCAGGAGCCCAGGTTTGGGGGCACAGAGACGGCACTTCTCCTGAGGGCCTGTGTCTGGCCCAGGGAGCCCACGTTTCATCTGCTGCGAACCTATTGTTCAGCTTTTGCAATGAGCACAGGGCATTGAAAGCCAAGGCCACAGCGACTCCAGGCAGGTGTGCTCGGCTCAGGACAGGAAGGGTGTGGGCCTCCTGTCCCTCCTCCAGAGACTACCCCCTGCTTAAGGGCTCCGGGCTCCCTGAGGCCACTGGGTGTCATGGCAACTTGGGCACAAGCAGCTGCCATGGCAACTGGCGTGTAGGGAGGAGCACTAACTGGTCATGGGGCCATGGCCTGGCGACCCCACCCCGTGCTAGAGCCAAGCCTTCTTCCTGTGCCCAGGAACTCTGGAGCTCCAGTGGATGTAACGCCACCTCCCACCCTGATGCAGGACACAGATTTTCAGGGTCCTTTGCAAACATTAGAATATGTGTCCCCTTTCTTGGGAATGCCAACACGACGGTGGACCCCAGCACCCTCTCCCTCTGAGAGCCCCCCCACCCTTGGGGCAATTGGGGCATTCTCCAGCTCAGGACCACAGGGAGGGGGTAGGGAGGAAGGTTTCAGGGAAGTGGGGTCTTCAGGGCCAGGCTGAAGCCTCCAGCTCTCAGGGACGCAGCATGGGAAGCGGCAGGCCAGGGAGGGAGGCCCCCAGGGTCATGGGCAGTGGGCGGAGGCAGTGGGGAGGGCCAAGGCTGCTGTGTCACCCAGGTACCCAGGCATCTCCTCAAACCCGCTGGGAGCTGCAGCTGCTTTGAGGCCCCTCCGCTCGGCCTGTGTGCCCCTGGTGGGACAGGAGTCCCGCCCACCGCCCACCGCCCAGCATTTCCCCCGTGTGACCGCTGCTGTCCTTGTTGTTCCTCCAGGGGAAGGAATCACCGGTGTCTGTGAGGGCCGCCTCTCTCTCCCATGTCATATTTCACACTCCTACTGGCACCCGGCAGGCTCAGGGCACCGAGCATGTAAAGCTGCAGCTACCCCACCCCACCCTCTCCACCACCCGAGCCAGCCAGGGCCCTTGGCCCACCCCTCCCCCATGGCTGCCTGGCCTCAGATGTCCTCTAAAAGCCCTCTTTGGCCCCTACCTCGAGTTTCACTGAACGGGTACTCTGAGCTGAGCACATCCTGAGACCCACCAGGATGTAGAGAGGAATGGCAGGGCCAAGGCTGGGGTGGGGGGCCCAGGGGCTCCCTCCTCCTCTGGGTGGCTGTGCAGACCCCCTGCCGGCTGGGCGGTTCCGTGGCAGCTGGTGCCTGAGTGAGGCCCCCGGCCCATCCTTCCTGGCTCACCCCCCCGCAGGGCCTGTTGTTAACGGCTGCAGATGCTGCCCCCACCCCAGAGACACTGTGGGGACTCCTGGGGCCAGGGCCCCCTGTGTCCAGCCAGCATGGCATGCAGACTGTGCACACGGCTCTTCTGTTGGTGAGCGGCCCACGTGGGGTCCCTGCAGTGTGTCCCCCCACCCCCAACATGGCAAAGAGGACGGGAAGGAGACCACCTTCAGAGGAGGGATTTCAACAAGCTTATTTAGATGGGAAGTGGAGACTGACGGAGCATGACAGCTTGGGCGTGGATGAGGCAGAGCGGAAAAGCGGGGCTGGTCAGGGGACAGCTTGGAATGACCCCCCAGCACGTGGGAGGGGCAGCGGGTGACACAATGACCGCGTGGCAAACTCCCCAGGCCGCCCCCAGTCCACACTGCAGACCTGCCGAGAACAGACATTTGCTCTTTCCTCCTTCCCCATTCACGGGGGTCGACAAGCCAGGCGTCGGGGGATGGTGTCTGATAGGAAGTGCTAAGACCAAATAGGAAAAATGAGCCACAAAGAGAATAGAAAGAAAAATGCAGAAACAAAAGGTTCTCCTCCCCCAAAACCCACTTTATCCCTAAAACAGAACAAGATGCTCTGAAAGAATAGGGGCACTCAGAGAACAATAGAGATGTCTTGTAAATTTAAAATGTGATTGATTGCTGAAATTCGAAAGCCCGGCAGCCAAGCCTGGCCGGCTCAGCCGTGCTGAGGACTGCGGGGGCCCCTCAAATTCCCGTAGGGAAGCACCCTCTGAGCCGATTCTCCCGCTCGCCTGACACCCAGCAAGTATGAGGTAGGAGCAAGATGCTCTCAGACCTGGGAGGGGTCTCACAGACTAGTCCCATGTGACAGACCACTCCCAAACTTCGTGGCTAACACAAGCACAGTCTAAGCCAGGGCTTGGCAAGTGGGCCGCCCTGTGGGGCATCTTTTGGGGTCTCCCTGGGCTCCCAGTTAAAATGACAGAAGCCTCTGTCCCCATGACCTCCCGTGCTACAGCATGGCCTCCCCGACGGCAGAGGGTCCCCAGAGCAGCAAGAGAGAGAGAGGTCAAGGCCCAACACATGAGCACTCAACTGCCAACACCTTACGATGAGCCCATTGGTCCAAGTGACCCCGCAGGCTAGCCCCGAGGTCAGGATGGAGAGAGGGACCCTGTCTCTTGATGTGAAGAGATCAGGGTCACGCTGAGAGGGGCAAGAAAGCAGAAGGGGACAGGTTGGTGGCCGTTCTACTGCACAGGGACTCCAATTTCCTCGGGTCCACCTTTCTGAGGATGTTACTTGAGGGTCTCCTTCCATGAAACAAAGGAGGGGGGCTGAGAAAGCAGGGATCATAGAAACGGGGATGGCAGGGGTGGGGGCAGGGGAGTGTGGCCCACAGGCGGCATGATGCAAGCTTGGGAACAAGGGAGGAGAGACACTCCAGGAACCCGAGTCTGGCTCCACCGCTGGACGCATGCTCCGCATGGTCAGATTGACCTGGAGCGGCAAAGAGCGAGCTCCTACTTATCCAGTCCCATCGCTTGACAGTGGTGTGGCCTTGGGCAAGGGGTTAACCTTGCTCATGCCTCAGTTTCCCCATCTGTAGAGAGAGGATAACATTCGTCCTTACAGGACCATTAAAGCAAATGTTCAACACACTATTTTAAAATAAGTCAGTCCCTGGAGATGTTCGGTAAAAACAGGCTGCGGGACGCCCTGTTCTGTGTGGACAGGGAGAGCCATCACGATCCGCCTGTGCAGGACAGGCAGCCGTCCCGGAAGGGTCTTAACGACCAGGCTCGCGGGGCCTGCGCAGGAGGGAAGACTGAGGTGTGAGGGCGGGGCGCGCCGGACACCTAGTTTGTTGGTTGATTTTGGTTTAGCCTTGTATCTGCATAACCGCTTTCACAGTTAAAGAAAAGAGCTACGGCAGGTGGGGTGGGCGGGGCAGGTGGGGTGGGCGGGGCAGGTGGGGTGGGCGGCGTGAGGAAGGGGTGACTGGATGAGGGCACTTCAGGAACAAGGATGTGTTGGGAGGGGCCCTGCCCGCCCCAGCCCATTATGACCTCCCTGGCTGTGCCCAGGCCTTTGTGACAGGCGCCCCTGGGGCGAACCCATGAGCTAGGACACCTGGGGGGCCCTCAGTAAGAGGGTGGCAGGTCTGGCCAGGCCAGAGCCTGGACCTGGGGTCAGGAAGGGGTCACAGGGAGGTATGGAGGGGCCAAAAACCCTAGGGCCCTGTGGCCACTCCCACCCCCAATGTCCCCAACCCTCAACGTCCAGCAGCCACGGCGGTTGCCTGGACCCACCCTGCCAGGGGTTTGTCAGCTGGCCCTGCCCTGGGCCTCTCAGCTCCACTCACTCGGTGGAGTCTGTCAGAGCTTTCCCAGCCCCAGGCGCAGGGGCCGGTGGGCCCAGGGTAGGCAGCGGGGTAGCTGGGGGCTTTATTGCGAGTGAAGAGGGAGAGATGCAGAGACAGAGGCCCAGAGATCCAGCAGGTGCACGACAAGGACAGATGGAGGAGGAGCTGGGCTGGGGATGGCCCCTGCACTCAGGAAGGGAGTCGAGGTCACCCAGGCAGGGGGGAGCCCCCAGTATAGGGCCCAGACCCTGCCCGTGCCCACACCTGCCCCAGGGGACAGGGACCCCCGCCTCACCCAGGGTAGCCTCCTCCCAGCTCCAGAGTGTGACCCTGGGGCCTGCAGAACCGTCCTTCCTCCAGCTGGAGCAGGAGAACCAGAACCTGGTGAGTGAGGCGTGGCGCCCACCCTAGCTGCCTCAGGCTCTGCACCTGTCTGTGCCACGAGCTCACGGCAGTTCCTGGGCCCCCTGAGCCCCGGGCCCCCGCCCTGGCTGCCTCAGCCTCCTGCCCGAGGGGCAGCTGTGATGGGCAGTCCTGTCTCTCTGCCTCCCACCCCCAGAAAAGGCAGAACCAGGACCTGCGGGAGCAGCTGGGGGCCCTTCTGGGACCAGGGCAGCAGTTCCTGCCCCTGTGCCCGGAGCACTCGAGTAGAACGGCCCTGGCCTGGGTAAGTCCATGGCAACAGCCGGACCCAGCAGGACTTTGGCTACTGTCAGGAGTGACCCCGTGACTCCACGCACCACACCCTCCACTCCTGCTCCCCAGCAGCCCATGACCCCAGACGCTCGGCATGACCTTGAAGCTGACCTGGGGGCTCTTCTGCAGCCCCCCGAGCAGACCGGCACCAGGCCCCTGGAGGACAGGGCTCCTTTGCAGCTGCTGCGGCGGGAGCTGTGCCGAGGCGAGGAGTCCTTCGTGCAGCAGTCCCAGGTGGGCGCCTGGACCCGGCCAGGCTCATGGGGCAGGGGCCGGCGGCCGGCGGCTGGGGGTGGGGCGGGGGGTCCTTCCCGCAGCAGCCCCAGGTGGGTGGAGGAGGAAGAAGCGGACCACCCGCTGGCCCTGCCTGTGCCCATATTGTGCTCCTCTCCCAGAATGAGCTGCAGCAGATCCGATTGTCCTTTGAGAGGAAGAAGATGGCCATTACCGAGGTGCCCGGCTGGCCAGGGTGGAGGGGATGCTGGATGTCCCACGTGGTGGGGCATATCCTAGGGGCATGACCCGGCCTTCCCCCAACCAGGTGTGGGATGGCGTGGCCGAGGTACACATGGCCCTGAACAACCAGGCCACCGGACTCCTGGTAGGTCTCCTGGAGAGCAACACCCAGAGGCTGGGGGAGGCAGGAAATGAGTGGGGCTGGGGAAGGGGTGAGAGGCAGGGGAGCGTGGCGGGGTGTTCAGGGATGGAGGACCCTTTACCTCCTCTGCCCCCTAGAACCTCAAGAAGGATATCCGGGGCGTGCTAGACCAGATGGAAGACATTCAGCTGGAGATTCTGGGGTGATGTGTGGGGTCAGGACTGGCATGGGGGGGCGGTCTGACTGAGCTGAAAGGGGCAGGTGTCCCAGACAGGATGGGGTCAGCCAATCCCGAGCCCCTCCCCAGTTCCATGGCATCAGACCAGGGTGGTGCCAGGCTGATGCAGGGAGAGCATGTGGCCCTGACTGTGTAACCCCCCAGGGACCGGGCCCAGTGCCGCACCCAGGCCAGGAAGGACCTGTGCATAGCAGTAAGCACCCCCCCACCCAGTTTCCCACCCCAGAGGCCCTATTTGGTGGGGGAAGAGGCGGGCTTCAGTGCAAGAGGCGCCCGGGGTGGGAGCCCCACCAGGAGCCAGCTGACCAGGGTCACCCGGGGGGGACATGGTTGCAGGTGCCTGTCCTGGGCAGGGGGAGCAGGAACACCCAGACCCCTGCGGGGAGGGGGCAGGTTCTGACCCGCCCCTCCCCCGCAGAAGGCAAAGCCGCAGCTGGGATGTTCCGAAGGCCTCAAAGGTCAGCTCTGGTAGGTGGCTGCGCGAGTATGTGGGCAGAGCCCAGTCCCCCGGGACTGTCCCTCGGGCGCCCCTGCCCCCTGACCACCACCGCCCGCAGGCTGCTGGCCCTGAGGCTGCTGCTGGGCACGCTGCTGGCCTGTACCGCTGCCTACGTGTACGTGGTGGACCCCACGCCCTTCGAGGGGCTGGTGCCACCCCTGCTGAGCCGCGCCGCCGTCTGGAAGCTCCGGGCCCTCCTGGGCCCGTTCCTGCACCTCGAGGTGGACGACTTCCTGCCCTTCTAGGCTGGAGGCCCAGCGGCCCCAGTGAGGAGGAGGCCAGAAGGCCAGCGCGGCCCGGGCGCCCAGCGACTGAGCCAGCCCCGCCCACAGCGCTGCCGGCACACCGTCCCCCCCGAGAGCCTCGGACAAGGGTGGAGGCGGGTCTGTCCTGAGGGCTGGGCCTGTGGCTGGACATACAGTGGTGACATGGACGGCGTCTGACATTGTCTCCATGGAGATGGGGGGACAGGGAACTTTGCTGCACCCTGAGGCTGATCTCAAAGCAGGGGTCCCTCGGAGTGGCAGCTCCACCCAGCCTGCGCCCCGCCTGCCTGCTGGATGGCAGCCCCTCCCCAGGAAGCCCCCAGCCTGCCCCCGGCACCAAGGAGCCCTGAGCAAGGGTTGCCCGGAGGGTCTCTGCTGGGAGTGGGGATGGGATCCTCAGGTCTCCCTCCTCGCACGGGTCCGGTTCTCAGCCTGAACCACATACCTGTCACATAACCCAAGTCCCTGTCTGGCCAACCACCTCACCCTCCTTGCACCCACCACCCGCCGCCACCGCCCTGCCCCACGCCTGTCGCCCCCTGAAGCCAGGGTCCCTGTCCAGCCCCACCTCCCGGCACTGCCCAAGGCTTGGAGGACAGGGGACCACAATGTTGGAGAGAGCGGTGGAGGTAAACACCAAAAATTTTATTTAGGGCATTAAACTGGGGTAGGGAATACCTTCCAAAACAATAGAGAATAGCTCTGTGGCTCGCTCATCCCCAAGTTGGGCAGAGCTGTTGCTCCAGCAGGAAAGGGCGGCGGGGCCCCACCCTCTCCCAGGGGGATATCCAGGCCCAGCTGGCTGGGGACTGCAGAGCCCCACCCCGGGCGCCCCCAAGCACCCCAAGTGCACATCTTGGAGCGAAGCAGTGAAGGCTGGGGGCAGGGGCTGGGCGGAGTGGGCTCACGGGCTGGGCGGCCAGTCCTCCTCCCACCCTGGCAGGGCCTGGACGGCTCGGCAGGCTGGTGGCTCCCAGAGGTTAAGGCATCTGTGCAGGGCTCAGGGAGGGGGGAGTGCAGTGACCTGCGGGGGCAACCTGAGACCCCCACCCCAGCCTTACCACAGAGGCCTGGGCTTCCTGAGGAGGAAGTGGCATCTAAAGTGCTTGGTCAAGCAGGGAGGTCAAGGTGACGGCATGGCACCCTGGGAAGGCCGTGCTGGTCCCAGCAGATCCGGGGTCCCCACTGGGGTGTCGGACCCCCTGCAGCAGATGGGAACTTCCTGAGGTGGGTGGGCACATGGTCACGGGCCCCGGTGGGCTAGGAGTCAGTCAAGGTTTGGCTGCTTGGCCGGGGGGCCTTCAGCCCACACCCCAGGGTCCGTGGCAGCCCAGCCTCCCAACTGGCCTGGGCTGGGCTGTCCCGGGACCGACAGGTGCCTACTTGGTGTCCCGCTCGGGCCCCGAGAGGCTGGGGAAAAGGCTGGAGGCAGCCAAGTGCAGGCGGCACACAGCTCCTCGGGGGGGCACCCCAGCGGCCGGGCTCCAGGGGACCTGCAGTAGTGGGCGGTCCTCAGGGAGGCCGAGGTGGCACAGGTGCAGGCCGGGGGGCGCCCTGGACGGGCCACGGCGCCCCCATCCACGGCTACAAGTGCCGATCCGCCCCCTGCGGGCCGCAGCGTCCCATGAGAGAGAAGCAGAAAGGTGGAGGTCAGCCTGAGGCAGAGCTGCCCAGTGTGGGGGTCCAAGGTCCAGGGCACCTCCCACACTGGGCCAACCCCTGTCCCCCAACCTCTGCCCAGCTGTCTCAGTACTGAAAAGCCGTGCATTACCGATGCCTTCACTCCACACATTTAACAGGGAGAGGTGGGGGACCCTGTCCAAGCAGCTGCAAACATGGCCGCAGACACCACAAGGTCCCAGCCAGCGGGTGGCCCCATATACGGCCCACCTCCACCTCCTTCAAGCCCTTGGCTTCCTGGGGGGTCCCTGGGGCAGCTGCAGCCCCAGCCCTTCTCCAAAAGCCGTTACTGCCAGGAATGACGCAGACCCAGGGGAGCTGCATGCTCGTCAGCCAAAGACCTGTGGGCCAGCCCCGCCTCCCAGGCTTCCAACTCGGCTTAAGTCAGCAGAAATGCCCACATGGACGCTCTATCCCACACTGCTGGCCGCCACCTCTCCCAGAGCCTAAATGGCTGGGCCCCCCACCCCGGAGCCCCTGAGTTATCAGCAACAGCCCTGGCCTTGCTCAAGGAAAGGATCAAAATGACTCTTTTTCTTTTTTTAATAAAATTATAGATATATAGATGTAGATATAAAAACATAAAACAGACACAACGCAAGCAGACGCTGCTGTGTGCTTACTCTTGGGTCCCTGGCGCCAGGCAGAACTCTGACCCCCTCCCCATGTGCTTCCCACGCAGGCGCCGAGGCTCTGGCGCCCCGACTCTGCATGCCTTGGGTTAGGGAGTCTCGTTTGGCAGGGAAGGGACTCCTGGTCTCAGAGGCCCCTGTAGCAGCGCCCGGCCTGTGCCTGCTCCCACCTGCCCCCGTCGCCACCCACAAGAGCGTAAAGCGGAGGTTAAGGCTTCAATGACAGCGAGTTTCCCGGCGGTGGGGGCGGCGGGGGCCTGAGCTTCAACACACGGGACATGGCATGGCAGCTCAGCGCACAGACACGGGGACACGCCCACGAGCTGGGCGAGACAGGACACGTGGAGCCAGGACCCCTCCCACAGCTGGCAGCCTGTCCGTCTGTCCATCCACCTGTCCATCAGAACCCAGAGCAGCCCCGGAGCTGGGTGCCTGGGGGCCAGGGCTGGACTCCCCGCAGAAGAATTGCCCTCACCAAACTAGAAGTCTCCAGCGGGTCCCTGAAAGGCAGCAGGTTAGGATCAGCCAGGCGGCGGGCCCTCAGTCCAGAGAATGGTCAGGGACCCAGGCCTCTTTGTCCATTTCTGGTCCACAGTGACCCATCTATAAGGGGAGTGGGCGGGGGCTGACCGGCTGACAACCTCGGGACATGGGTGCAGTCCACACAGATGCAGTCCAAGCCCCCTCAAGGCCCAGACTATGGAAGCAGGGACACCAACACAGATCTGTAGCTGGTGGCCCTCGGCCCGACCGTGCCCTGGTGAGCAGATAAGTGGATGGACAGGCGGAGAACAAGGGACAGGCTCGTGGAGGCGTGGTTCTCTCTCCCGCTGATGTGTCCACACCAGGCCTGGGCCGCCTCCTCTGTCAGGGCAGAGAAGTGGGGGGAGGGGCCGCTGGGGGGTCCTGGTCCCCGTGGTGCCACAGGAGATGGGTGGCAGTCACTCCTCACACCGAGATCTCGTACGTGGTCCCACCCACGCCAGACACCTTCTTAACCAGCGTGTGCCGGGCAGGGCTGGCGGAGGGCCCCGGGGGGCCGGCAGCAGGGCCCAGGCGGGCCAGGCCCGGGGACTGCCCGTTAAGCTTACTTGGGGGGTTCTTCAGCTGAGGGTGGTCCCTGCATCAAAGCAAACACATACATGCACACACACGGTGAACAAGGGACCACGGCAGGACAGAGGCCAATGAAGGCAACGGGACAGACGATGCAGACGAAGCCCTGGGTGGCCCATGCCACTGCGCTCAGAAGGTGCCACCCAGAAAACAGGTGGCTGCACCGAGCCTGTAGGGGGAGGGCTGTGCTGTCACAGGACAGACAGACATCAGAATGGCTGTCACACCCCCAGGTCCCTTGGTCCCTCGGTCCCTCCCACTGGCAAGACCACAGCATGGGGAGGTCAGGTGGACACAGGCCTACTGAGCCCCTGGTTCCGCCCGGTCCTGGTACCCGAAGCTGGGGAGCCCAGGGACAACTGTGTGGCCCATTCCCTGTCCTCTCCTAGAAGAACGAGGGGCTGCCCTCCTGCCCAGAAGCCTGCCCAGCAATGTCCTCGCTGCCTAGTCATGAGGGCAGGGGGCCCTCGCTCCCTCAGCTGCCATCCCTGCCCCTCTGTGCAGCTGCCACCTGCTGGACCCACACGCCCACTACAGAGACCCCCAACCCAGCCTGTGCTCAGGCAGCTGGGGTGATGCCTGAAAGCGCTGCTACGTCCAGGGCAGGACCCGCACGTGGCAGGTGCTCAGTTCTTGTGCCTGGGCCTCACCGGCCAGGCAGCCAGTCCTGCATCCTTGGTTACCCACCCACTGGGGGCTTGGGACCAGCCTGCCCTTCTGGGCCCCGCTTCTCCATCTCTGAACAGGGAAGCCCCTGCTTCCAGGGGCCGTGTGCCCTACCCACAGCAGCACATTGTGCTGCAGGGTGCTGTCCCCCAGGCTCAGCCTCCCGGACAGGGACAGTGGCACCACCTCCTGAGGAAGGCAGCCTGTGGGCCCCCACCCACGGGCCTGCGCTGGCTGAGAGGAACGTGGGGCATTAGACTAAGATGCCAGGGCATACTTGGAGGGGCCTAGCCTCACACAGGCCGGCCAGAAGCCTGCAGGGTGGGGAAGGGCCACCCCATGTCAGGTCTTCCAAACAACCCACACTTGCTTAGCCAAGTGGCCCCACAGACAGACGGACTCCTGCCCCCTGCCGGGGAGCCTGCAGCGCCCCCAGCACCCACCTCTGCACGGCCAACGAGGGCGGTGGATCCGGGAGGTCCGTGTGGATGAAGGCAACGGCTTTGGGGCCCATGAAGGAAGGCGAGCGGGGAGTGCTGGGCGGGGAGGGCGGGCCCTGACGCAGGGGAGACCTGTGGGAGCCACTGCCTGGCCGGGGTCCGGGGGCGTTGTTGTTGACCAGGTCCGCCTGCAGGGAGGAGGAGGAGGTCCTCGGCGCCCGGCTCACTGCGCTGGACAGTGAGGACAGCGACGTCTGTAGTGCAGGGTTTCGGGCGCCTCCGAAGCCAGGCCCAGCCACCAGGTCGTCTCTGGAGCCGTAGCGCAGCACAGGGCCTCGGGGGCCCTCGGACAGCATGCTGGCCTGCTGCAGGCTGTAGGAGCTGGGTGCATCGTAGACGCCCGAGTCGCCGAAGAGCGAGTCGGCCTGAGAGCGCAGCAGCCGCT